TTTAACCTAGAATCTTCCTACTCAGAGGTTTTACTCAGAGACAAGAGACCCTCTACTGGCGTCTTGGCGACAGGTGGAAACTCCTACTTTCGGGCATTTAACACTTCCTTTCAGACAATTATAAGGGGGCAACAGTCATCACCCTTTTTCCGGCTGTTGACGTACCTACTAACCGGATGATTATCCTTCGGTGACGTCATGAGCCGAACAAGTTTCCTTAAATTCAGTTTGTTTGCAAAACGAAACCTCCAACACGTTGTTAACCATCGACCTAGTAGGTAAGTCAATAGTAGAATGCTCAAGTCCCGAAAGTAAAAGCCTCCACCACTGCCACGATACCCGTGGAGTGTCTCTTGTCTCTTGTTTCTGGTAAAACCAGAGATAAGAGACCCTCCACTAGTGTCTTGGCCATTGTGGAAGCTTTTACTTTCGGAACTTCAGCATTCTACTGTTAACTAACCTACTAGGTCGATGGTTAACAACGTGTTGGGAGTTTCGTTTTGCAAAAAAACTGAATTTAAGGAAACTTGTTTGGCTCATGACGTCACTCGAAGCTCATCATCCACCTGGTAGGTACGTCAACAGCCGGAAAAAGGGTGATGACTGTTGCCCCCCTATCATTGTCTAAGAGGAAGTGTTTAATTCCCTAAAGTAGAAGTTTCCACCTTTCGCCAAGAGGCCAAAGGAGGGTCTCTCATCTCTGGTTTTTACTCTGAAAACGGGAAGTTTCGAATCCTATCTAGACGTAATGGGCTAGTGGGGCCCATTTTTTAAGCTCATTCTTTGAAAGTACGATGTGAACTGTGCTTCACTGGAGAGGAAAGTCATGGATCCAGAGTCCAGACATTCTCAAAAAGTTTGAAAAGAAAAAATACTCTTGATTCAATCGGATTTTTGCTTGAATCAAGAGAGTATCCGTTCAAATTGGAAGGATTGTCTCCTTATTCAAACAAAAACCCGATTGGATTAGGAGTAATTTTAATGTTAATTTTTTTATGAGTCTGGGCTTTGGATTCAAGATACCTTTTTTCCAGTGTTTTGGGAATTTTCTCGATTTTTTTTTTTTAACCCAAATGGCAAAGGCACTCTGTTTTGAAAATGTCAAAAATGGAAACAGTTTGGAGCAATTTTTTTAAAGGGCTCTGATGACACATCTAGACAGGGAAAACGGCGTTTGCTGATTGGCCGAACTCAGCATCAGGCTTCGCCTTGTTACATCAGCTCGACTGACAGCTGTTGCTTAGTCCCCTTAGAAACGGTTTTTTTAACTTAATAATAAACCAGTTTCTTATAACTGAACATTAACAATAGTCACGTACTAAATTAATGCGACTCTTGATAAAAAAAGGAGGATTAATTTTCTCTTAAGATGTCATTCATTAATAGGGGCGACGAAAAACGTCTCATGGTACTGATTAATGATCGTGGTATTCAGGAGTCTTCATAACTTCACGAACATTAAAAACCGCACCAAAAACTCTGCTACATCAACACCTCATTCAAATGTGCCTTGGTCCGCAGAAAAACCATTTTCAACTTCCTTGAGGCGCTTTCCAAGAGTGATCATCAAGGCGCAGCAAAATGCCAGAGTGCCTTTATCCCTTTTGCACGCAACACGGACAACCTTGGGACACGAATAGTTGCATCCCAGGCGTTATCACGAATGTCGCGTCACACACGGGCCGCCGCAGTTAGCCAAAATACTACAAGAAATACTTGGTTTACTCATATTCGTCCAATTTTGAGTAGCCCATCTCTGGTGACAGTTTTTAATCACTTTTCAAATACTCTTGAAAAAACGTTAAAATACCAGAAAAAGGAGCTCCTATTTTGAAATCTCTTCCGGTGGAATTTATGTAAAACATTTGGTAGTTTTCAATAATTCCTTCAAACATTTTAAATGCTAAAATACGCAAAAAACCAGTCAAGAGTTTTTTGTATTACGATATCTACCTACTTAAAATGTATCACCCATAAAGTTCACCTAAAAAAATACCGAAGAACAGTTGAATTTTTTATCAGCGTTAAAAAATTTACATAGCTTCAACTCTTTCTTCCAGCATGTGTCAATACTAGGATTGTTCACTTTTCATTTATTTATCAAATTGTTTTTGAACGTTTGAAGGAGGTGTATCAGGAATGTTGCTGACTTAAAAACCCATTTAACGTAAGCTCGATATTTGGACCGCGTTAAATAGAAAGGAACTAAACCACATCAGCTATTTCCAAATTTAATCGGGCAATTTAATTATTTAAATGAAAACGGTTGTGCGGATTTTTGTGCAAATATCTATGAATTTTCTCCATAACACAAAGGAAATTCTTCAAAATTTTCAAAGGAATCCGCACAAACGTTTTCTCGTAAAAAATCAAATTCCCCTGTTAAATTTGGCAATAGCTGATGTGGCTTGGTTCCTTTCTGTTCTACGCGGTGCATTTGAACTTATGTTCATGCCAAAAATAACTGTAATCATGATCGAAATGAAAAGGAACCAAAAAGCTTAGAAAGCCTTAGAATACAGTTCCTTTGGATACAATTCATCTGTACATAGTTTTCTTTTTCTTTTATTTTTTTGTTGTTTTTTTTTACGTTTGTTTGTTTAGCATAAGTACGCCCATTTATTTTGCGCGCGAAGGATGATTTGCGATTTTGGCGTAACGGCGGCGGGGAAACAACCGGTGGCGCTACCACTAGTCCGGCGTTGCCGATTGTTCTACAATATTTCATTTTCCAGAAAGCCATTACCTGGGGCCCACGAGCCAATTTGACAATGTTGGATGCGAACGACGCAAGCTATTGAAGCGGAAACAACGAGCGCGCAGGGCGGGCGCGCGCCATGAGCTAAAGTAGTGCCGCGGCTCCCAGATTCGACTGAAATCCAAGTCCGAGATCCGAGAGCCCCGAATGGATTTCCGTGAAGAATCCCGATTATTGCCCAAGAGCTGGCAAAGCTTGGATCGCGATCATAGATCGTGCGCGCTCCAGACTGGCTCCGAATCAATAAACCAGTGAATCAGTCGTGAATTCCGCAAATCAGGAGACACGTTGCCGCGTCTCCGCCTTCCATACGCCAGCGGGCTGATCATTGAAATTGATAGACAAAACGATAAGGAAATAATGCAAAGGGCAAATCGAGCGATTGTTTAAATCGATAGTCAAAGCTATAGACAAAGAAGACGAAGGTCAAATTGAGCGATCTCATTGGTGGAAACAGGTGGTTGCAATGGACTAAGGAGGTGTTAAAGCATAATTATTGTATCAGCTAATAGCTGCGAACCTATTTTTCAGTACGAGACAGTTACTTTTCTTTCAGAGAGTCCTTTTTATTGTACTTAATTTTCTCAATAAAATATTTATGTATTTCGTTGGTCGTACGCTAAATAACGCTTTATAATTTCACAGAAGGTAAGTCTGTAATAGTCTAATTAATATCAACCCACGAAAGACCCCGCAATATGTCGTATCCCCCACGAAAAGACGTAACTAAACTTCAACATTGGACAATTTCCCAGACAAATTGCATTTCTACGAGGGGAACCTTGGAAATTTCTAACTGAAAGTCTCACAGATCTTTCTTCTGATCCCATGTGAAAATTGGACAAATATTCGACAAAATTTGTGCAGGTACATTCTCATAAAGAATCGAATTGATTTTGATAATTGATGCAACCTTGGAGTGGAGTCACATTCCTTCGTTCGTGAAAAGGTGATCATTTCTCCCTTAATCTACATCAACAACCCGTTTTAATCAATAGAATCGTTTCATATTCCCTTTATCTTCTTGGTCCATAGATTTGTCTATCAATTTCAAATCAGTCTGCTGAGCTCTCTCTCTCTCTTTTAATCACTGCTTTCACCCTCTCGGGCCAAGATTTACTAGCCACCCTGGTAAAACGCTTCTATATAGGAACCCATTAGATTCCAATTGGGACCCATCAGGTTCCCTGGGGCGTCCATATCCGCCGCATTCCTATGGGACCAATATGTGGTTCATGGCATCCGATACGCCGAGAAAAAAAACACAGTTATTCTACCATTTCAACGATAGTACTGTCACGGAATTCCACGGTAGTAGAACTGTGTATTTTGATTCTTGTAACGATGAGCACGGTGATATGACCGTGTTCACCGTAATATTACTGTTGGCATCGACATACTATTATGAGCATGGTTATGCTGCTGTGCTCATCAATAATATTACCAAATCCACGGTTCCACTACCGTAGGATCCCGTGTGATATTATCACCGTGGTAACCGTCGAATAACCGTGTTTTTCTCCTCCGTGTAGGAACCTATGAGGACCCAATGGGATCCATGAAATTCTAATTGATCCCAATGGGAACCATCGCGAATGGAGATGTTGCATGTGTGAGGGATTTGCGATTTGACCATTGATTTTTAAGTAAAAGTTCGCAAGAAACACGATGGTGCCACTGGTTTTCTCTGAAATCATCTCCCAAACTCAAAAAAAGCTCTCAAAGTGAGGCCAAAATGGAGGGGATATCCCACCCTACCCTGAGAGTCCACGTCTACATCAAAATAAACTCTCCATGCAAAGATAGGGAGCAAATACATTGACAAGGCTGCAACTTTATTTGGGGACTCCAAAACTGAAAACACGGCAATCCTGCTAATGTATTTTCTCCCTATCTTTGCATGGAGAGTTGGTTTTGATGTAGACGTGGACTCTCAGGATAGCCTGGGATATCACATCCATTTTGGCCTCAACTTGATAGCTTTTTTTTGAGCTTGGGAGATGATTTCAGAGAAAACCAGTGGCACCATCGTGTTTCTCGCGAACTTTTACGTAAGAATCAATGGTCAAATCGCAAATCCCTCACACATCCAACATCTCCATTGCCAGTGGGGACCCGTTCGCCCGCACGGATGCCAATGGGAATTTCTCTGCGGGTTCCCTTAGGACCATTTTACCAGGTATTGAGATGGGATTCTGTGACAAGCGCAGCCGAATCATTCTTAAACTGAAAACTGACGCACCTGTGTCTTGTATCGGATGAAGTAGACCTCGGGCTTGGAGGGTTGCGTGGGTGCGGGCGTGGGGATGGAGATCTCTGGCTGCTCGTCTGGCTTCTTGACGAGGACGTAGATGAGGGTCTTCTGCTCGGCCGGCGGGGGGAGGGCCGGGATGTCAGGGGCGGTGGGCGGGGGTGGGGTGGGCGCCTTGATGAACACGATCTTGTAGTGCTTCTGCGGGGGCGGCGGTGGCGGGGACGGCCTTTTGGGCGCGTAGTAAGTTGGCTCCGGAGGCGGGACGTGGACGTAGACGTGCTTGTGGACTACGGGGGCCTGCGCCGGGACGCCGTACTGCGGCGAGGGCCCTGAGGGGTAGCCGCCTCCCGAAGAAGGGTAGCCGCCCCCGGAGGAGGGGTACCCGCCGCCGCCGCCACCGATGGGCGCCGCGTAGGAGTCTAGTTGGATCCCTGATGAGTACCCGTTTGAGACCGGCGGCTCCGGCCGGGCAAAGGCCACCCCCAGAGAGGCCATCAACTGAAACAGAAACATATCTAGATGTAGTTTATCATTACGCATTATGGAGAATTCGCATGCACATTTTTTATCACTGGAAAAAAAAAACACACATTGGATCTAGAGTCCAGACTCTTAAAAACTTCGACAAGAAAAAGTACTCTTGATTCAATCAGATTTAAGCCGGATCAAGAACCAGCCTCTTAATTTGAGCGGATGTCCTTTTGATTTAAGCTTAAATCTGATTGAATCAAGAGTCCTGTTTCTTGTCAATGCATTCAAGAGTCTGGACTCTAGATCCAATGTGTTTTTTTCCCAGTGATTGCTTCATCTGAAAGTGCCTGAAGAGCTGATTTCACGGTATTTTTTATAATTTTTCCCTGATACGGAAAATGGTATAAAAATAGATTTAAAAGTGAGAGAATGGACCGCCTAGTGACGTCATCTGGCGGCATTTCCAATTTAAACACATGTATTTCAGCAGATTATACTATTTTGGCATATCTGTTCCAATAATTATTCAATTCATGAACCAAGAGTATCTTCGTGTTCAGTTCACTCAGTAGTTTCCTTTTAAACACGCAATTCATCAAATTTCAGACATCTGCAGATTTTCTACTGCACGCATGAACGAAAGTGGCTGGAAAAACCCTTACAGTATTGAGCCTCAGGTTAAGGAGTATGTCATACGCGTTTAGCGAACATTTTCTTTTTTGCCAAATGTTTCGGTTAATGCGTTGCTCAACGACCAACAGGAGGATAATTCTTATAAGGTTGAGTGGTTTCGTCTCAAAGTAATAGTTTTCACGTGTCGTGAAGGGGCAAATGAATGGTCTGTCTATAGCCATCCCACGGTGGATCGAGACAGTAGAAGAGGTCGGACAAAATTTGGAAACTTTAAAGACTTGTAACTCCGTTTACACACAGCTTTGAGGTTCTATAGTGGTTTCATTAGTTCTCTCGCGAAATATTCATCTTAAAGCATTCCATGGAAATTAAAATGTGACGAAATAAACATCAAAATTTGCAGTTTCAGTCAAAAATTTCATGGCCGACCTCTTTAATTGACTCGATCCAGTGTGAGTTGCTGCTCTAACTGATACTTGGTTGACCGATAGTGCACTTTGGAGTTCCATATTGGTCGAAGTTTTTTCTCCGTGCACTTTCAAGAATCCAGAGTAACCGCTCACTGACAGATGGACGTACGTTAATCAAAAAGAGCCACCCCCACAACTGTGCCATGAGCCCTGCCATCATAGATGCATTAATTCCCACGAGGCTCAGAGTACAAGTTACAATGGGGATATTTCCTTTTTGATTGAAGTACGCCTAAATGGATTACATTTTGCAATAAGGAACCACTATTTCTGGCCCATTATACAGGGTGTCTCACGAAAAACGAGCCACCTTGAATATCTGCCGAACGCGTCGGAATTTCGAAAAACGGTAAAAGACGTGTTCGTTTATATCGAGGGGGACACTTTTTGGCGTATTCGAAATTTTCCCAAACCGCGGGAGGGGCGCGGGGCGGGGGGCGCCCCACCCGTAAGTCGAACTTTTCAAATGGCACCCCTACTTTTTTATTTCAAAAATCAATTCTACGCAAAAAAACAAGCCACCCTGTCCAAACCGAATGTAAATCGGACAATTTT